GATCTGGCATCCTCTTGGACTGGACAAGGGCCAACAAATTGAAACTGAATCCAGATAAGACAGAGATTCTACTGTTGGGAAGATCATAACACTGGTTAGAGGGATATTTACCTAGTCTCCATGGGGGTCACACACCCCTGAAGAATCAGGTTCACAGCCTGGGGATACTCTTAGACCCAGCACTCTCTATGGAGGCACAAATATCTGCTGTGGCCAAGAGTGCCTTTTAAGAGCTTTGGATGATTGCCCAGCTGTGCTCCTACTGGATAAGAAATGCCTTACAACAGTGGCTCATCTATTTCTAATCTCTAAAAGACTATTGTAATACTGTTGGCTGTTGTAGGTTTTTTGGGCTGTCTGGCCGTGTTCTTGAGGTTTTTCTTCCTAACGTTTTGCCAGTCTCTGTGGCCGGCATTTTTAGAGGACAGGAGTCAGAACTCTGTCTGTGCTCTGGTGCAGTTTTGTGGGATAGTTGAGTATTTATAGCTGTGAGATTGGCTTTCTGTCCTTTTCAGGAAATTGGGTGATTATGGTGATCAGCGTGTTTTTTGTTGTGGGTGTATTCTTGTGATAAGGGGGAGAGATGATCTGTCATTGTGACTGATGGATGTCGTTAGCTGGTCTTTTGTGTGCAGTGATCCCTGTGCAGCCTCCCTGTGCAGGGCATGTTCAGCTACTTGCCACAACTGCAAGGTATCTGGTATACTCCTGCAGTGGTGAGGGGGTACCTTTTATTCTTTGCTGACCGTCTCCACTGCAGGAGTATACAGGATACCTTGCAGTTGTGGCCAGGTATATACTGAAACCTCAAAACACAGCATCCACACCAGAATGAAAGAACAAGAGAGAAACTGTAGACTAAAACAACCGGAAAAGTCTGCAGTAGGCAAACATGCCCTAAAACAAGCTGGAATTCCAAAACACAGAAGTACTGGACAACACCAGCAATCATTATGTTAGACTGCACAGGGAAGTAATTGAAATCCACAAACACCAGCAGAGCTTCAACAAAAAAGAAGAAAGTCTAAAACTCAAAAAAGCCTGGCTCCCAGTACTGAAAAACACAGCCTGCAAAAGGTCAATGAACTCTCCCTAGCCACAAGGACCAGTGATCATTGCACACAAAAGACCAGCTAATGATACCCATCAATCACAATGACAGATCATCTCTCCTCCTTATCACAAGGATACACCCCAGACAAAAAACACGCTGATCACCATAATCACCCAATCTCCTGAAAAGGACAAAAAGCTGATCCTACAGCTATAAATACTCAACTATCCCACAAAACTGCATCACAGCACAGAGTTCTGAGTCCTGTCCTCTGAAGATGCTGGCCACAGAGATTGGTGAAATGTTAGGAAGAAAAAACCTCAAGAACACAGCCAGAAAGCCAGAAAAACCTACAACCATCAGATCCCAGCCGTGAAAGCCTTCGAGAATATATTGTAATACTCTCTATGTATGGCTGCTCTTGAAGTCAGTGTGGAAGTTCATCAGGTCCAAAATGTGGCAGCCAGACTGATTACAGGTACCAATAGGTATAAACATATGTCCCCAGTCTCAGCATGTCTTCACTGGCTTCCCTGTCAGTTTCTGTGTGGAACATAAGGTGCTGGTCATAATCTATAAAGCCCTTAATGGTTTAGAACTTCGATATCTGGTGGAATGTCTCTCCCACAAAATAGCTACCCATCTCACATGTTCCTTGCAGTTCTTGATATTAGAAGTTGTAACACATAAGGAGGCCAAAAAAGCCAACATGAGGAACCAAGCTTTCTTGGCCTTCCCTCTGTAACAGGCTCCCTACAGAGGTTTGCCAGGCACTATCCCTCTGTTTTTGGCGAGCTCGTTAATCCTCAATAAGATAAAGCCATCTACTAGTGAAGTCCTTCCTTCTACTTCAGTACTGTAGTGTAAATATTGTCATGAGATGTTTAAATGGATTTTTAATTTGTGCATTATTATTTAAAAATAGTTTTTATCTAGTGACAGTGTTTATTGTTTTTTATTGTATTTTTGTATTTATTATATATGTTTTTGGCGAGCTCGTTAATCCTCAATAAGATAAAGCCATCTACTAGTGAAGTCCTTCCTTCTACTTCAGTACTGTAGTGTAAATATTGTCATGAGATGTTTAAATGGATTTTTAATTTGTGCATTATTATTTAAAAATAGTTTTTATCTAGTGACAGTGTTTATTGTTTTTTATTGTATTTTTGTATTTATTATATAGTGTTTTAGTTAAAATAGTTTTTACCTAGTGACAGTGTTTATAGTATTTTATTGTACTTTTGTATTCATTTAGTCTATATTGTGCTTCATTGTATATTGTGAACTACCCAGAGAGTGGTTACACTAATGCAATGGCTTAGAAGTAGAAAGAAAGAAAGAAAGAAAGAAAGAAAGAAAGAAAGAAAGAAAGAAAGAAAGAAAGAAAGAAAGAGATGTCTGCTGTAACTAATCGCAACTTGTGGGTGGGTGGGTGTGCACGTGCGTGCATGCGCGCGCACACACAGACACACACACATACACTCTGACTAATGGCAGCTCTTCAAGGTTCTCAGACATCATGAACCAGAAAGCTCCAGGACCAAAACTGGAGCATTCGGAATGCAAGGCATCTGCTCTGCTGGTCTACTGTGGCCCCTCCTAAACAAGCGTCCCCCAAAGAGTAAACCAACGCTCTCAAAAGCATAAGATAGATAGATTACCCTTGGCACTCCTGATGGTTCTCTGCAAAACATGCTGCATGGCTGACACTGTCTTTTCGCATGCCACCTTCAAATAAAAGAAAAAAAGATTCAAGTTTTACGGAGAGCAGTGACACACGCTTACTGCTGAGGACAATTCAGGGATTCAGTGAGAAATGCAAGTCATGCAAATTATGTTGTCTCTAAGAGAAATGTTACTTTTAAATATAATGTCCAAAGGAATATGTGGGGGAAAAGTGAGCTGTAAAACCTTTGGATCTATTTTCGTATTATACACCAAATGGAAAGCGTGGAGCCAGAATGGTAGGAACATAACAAGCCAAATGTCAAGCTGAGTTTTAACATGCAATCATTCTCATGTCTTTCTCTCAGTATTCTTTTCTGCTTTCTCAAGCTCTGTAACAAAACTAGCCTTTTCAGACAATATTGCAAAGCTACTGCTGCCCATGCCATATGCAATGTGAACATAGGATGCTGCCATGTAACACCAAGACCGTTTAGCAGTTCCTTGACCCCCATGCTGTCTGTTCTGACTGGAAGCAACTCTCCAAAGTCTCCAAGTGTTAGTCTTGGTGTCTTCTTAGTGTTAAAGAAAAGCTGTGTTTACATGTACTGTACCACCGAATCAATTTTGCATTAGGAGAGTGAGCCACAGATGCACATGGTCCACCCTCTCTTCTACTCTCCTCTAGCACAGGTGCCAGGAGCAGACTGGAAGCTTCCACATCAGATTAACAGCAATTTACTCTGTCATCAAAACCTTAAACCATAGTTTATCTTTAACCATCATTTAAAAAATATAATCTAGATTTATACACTATGATTTTAAGATGGCTTGTTCAGTAAAACATAGCAAAGATGAACCAGAATTTTGAGTCTGTGCTCAAATGAAAAGAGAAAGTGCAGTTAATCCAAATTGGAAGCAAATACTTCTTGATTCCTCTTCTCCGTGGTCATGGCAGAGGAAGGGAAACCTGAGGCTCCTTTTGAACAAAATTGTTAATCAACTTTTATTTTATATGGCATGATCTACATCTAGTTTCTTCTTCTAAATTCAAAGATTTTTGTACTGCCAGAAAACACAGTAAAAGTGGGAAATAGCTTTCTGTCATTATCGAGAAAGTGGGAGAACAGAAAGAAACCCTCTATCCTACCTTAAGGTTGTCTGGATGTTTGTGGGTCCAGGCCAAGAGCATAGCAGCAAACAGATCCCCTGTTCCAACAAAGACAGCATCTACTTTAGGAGACTCCATTCGGATTCTCTGTGTCACTTTCGTTCCATCCGCTGTAGCTGTTAAGATAGACCCATGTTTACATTTCCATTCTAAAGGAAATCAACCCCAAGTGCTCACTGGAAGGACAGATCCTGAAGCTGAGGCTCTAATACAGTGGTGCCTCGCTTAGCGATGTTAATCCGTGCAGCAAAAATCGCTGCTAAGTGATAACATTGCTAAGTGATTTTTAAAAGCCAATGGAAATGCATTAAAACGCATTTAATGTGTTCCTATGGGCTTATAAACTAACCTTATGCGAAAATCCTCCATTGCGGCGGCCATTTTCGGTGCCTCTAAAGCGAGGCAAAACAGCGGGCGGCCATTTTTCCCCCCGATGTCCATTTTGGAACCGCCGATCAGCTGGCC